ATGTTAAGATCCACACAGTTGAATGCCTTTGTAAACACAAGTGAATATCTTTCTGGTAGTCTTTGCATTCAGACAAGATCCATTTGATATCAACAATGATATCCCTCATTCCACAGGAGCAAATTTAGGGGCCCTAATTTATGGCCTAAATAGAATATTAAACATTAAAAATGCACAAACATCAGAAGATAAACTAGATGACTGAGACCTTCTAAAAATTAAATTCTTCTGAGCATCAAAAGAACCAAAAGAGGAAAAGGGAACCTATAGTTTGGAAAACATATTTGGTAATGATATATCCAACAAAGGACTTAACTCTAAAATTTATAGAAAACTTCAACACCTCAACATTAAAAAGACAACAAATTGAATTTAAAAAAGAGTAGAAGACATGAACAGACACTTCACCAAACAAGATATTCAGGTGGACAACAAAGACATGAAGGAATGCTCTTGATTATTAGCCATTAAAGAGATCCAAATCAAAACGAGAAAATATCTCACCAGCAAAAATAGCAAATTTCAACAAGATAGAAAACAACAAATGATGGTGATGGTGTGATGAGATTGGAACCCTCATACACTGCTGGTGGGACTATAACATAGTGCTACCACTGTGGAAAACAGTATGGCACTCCCTCAAAAAGTTGGTCATAGAAATATCATTTTATCCAGCAATCCCACTACTAGGTAAATTCCCTAAAGAACTGAAAGCCAGACCTATGCTAATCACTTGGAAAGGGGTCAAAATTGGGATCCTGAATAGTGTGGGAGGAATACATGGAACAAAATTCAAAAACACATAAATGACCAGAATTACTGTTTGGATAAGAGACTGGTGAAACTCCTGAGGCTGTGGCCCTGGGTTGTCCTTTGGGCTTGGAACTGGACTCACTTCCATGGATTAGCTCTCAGCTAAACAGTAGAAAGGCCTATAAGGAGCATAGCTACCCTAGGGAGATGTACCTTAGTTCCATCAACTGTGAGAGATCAGAAGGACATCATTTGCATAGGGGAAAAGCTGGACAGACAGGCAGGAATGCATAGGTAAGAAGGACATAGGGAATGGATCGTGACAGGGAGGAGATAGAGGGAGAGCTGTTTATTGGTGGGATTGTAATCAGTGCTGTGAAACCAAATGTGAATGAACTGTTGAGAGTAAAACAAATCTGCTTTGTAAATTTACGCCCAAATCACAATAAAAAATTAAAAGACAAAAAAAGAAGTGAGACCTGGTACATGAACAGACATATGCATACCCATGTTCACTGCCTCACTATTCACAACAGCAAAGATGGAAACAGACTAAGTACTCATCAATGGATGAATGAATAACCAAACTACAGTACATACACACAAGAGAATACTCTACAACATCAAAAAATTATGAAGAATTGGAGAAACACCTCATAATGTAGATGAACTTGCAGGGCATTATGCTTAGGGAAATGAGTCCACCATAGAAGACCAAATAATGCATGAGTCCACCATTATAAAAACTCAAGGAAAAGTATACACACAGAAGGAAACTTTCTTTGTTGGCTACCAGGGAGTGCAGGGAAGGGGCAGGAAAATTACTAGCTAGGTAAGAGACACACTGATTTGGATGAAGAGGAAGGAAATATGCAAAAAGCAGATGACCAGCACGATAACACCAAGGAAAAGAAAGACACGGAGAGGGGCACAAGGGGAACAGAAAGCAAAGGTAATTACTTTTACGTACACAATGTGTTATTATATAACAAACATTAATCTACAGGTGGATACATAAACATACAAGATGATCAGTTAGGCATAGGTGAAAGGGAATGTTCTCATGAGCATGTATAGGTTTAGCAATGATATTTCTGTATATGTATTCATATGTGCTATAAAAATGTTGTTCTACATCCTACTTTGATGAGTCATGATTGGGGCTTAAAAGTTTGTGAAAAGCAACCTAAATGGCAGCTATTGGTCCCTCATCATCCAGAGCAAAGAAGAGTTAAGACAAAGAAAGATGTGTGGAAATAGTTAGTCCAAAGGACTAATGGACCATTAGAACCTCAGCCTATATGACCCCTGAGACTAGAACTAGATGCTGCCCAGCTACCAATGCCAACCACTTGGAAAAGGATCAAAATCACATATCCTGGATAAAGTGGGAGAAAAATGTAGAACAAAACTCAAAGTCACAAAAAAAGACCAGGCTTACTGGTCAGATGGAGAGTGGTGGAATCCCTGAGACTATGACCCCTAGGCAACCTTTAGGGCTGGAACTGAACCCACTCCTATGGCTTAACTTCAACCAAACAATACTCAGGCCTATTAGGTGAAAAATGACACCAGGCAGGTGCACTACTTAAATCAACCAAGAGAGATCAGAAGGGCAGCTTTTGTGTAGAGGCAGGAATTCATAGGAAAGAAGGACGCAGGGAAAAGGGAACCACAAAAAAAAGGGGGGGTGAGAACTGTTACATTGTGGGTACTGCAATCAGTGTCACTCTCATGAAACAAAATGTGTATGAACTGTTGAATGGAAAACGAATTTACTCTGTAAACTTTCACCCAAATCACAATAAAAAGTTAAAAAAAAAGTGATGCTGGAAGATCGAATATTATTTATGTAATAGAAGACCACTAAAAGTTTTAAGCAGGAGAATGACTTGATATGATTTACATTAAAATGGGGGGAAAATGAAAAAAAAAAACCATGAGGGATGCTGTATGAGCGATGAACTATAATGTGAAAGTCTGGAGACATGAAACCAGTTTGGTATTTTCTGGTGCACTCTTCTATTGGTCTGTGGGTCAAGACTGATCTAGCTTACTTTGGACAACAGATAGATTCCATTTTCAGTCATCCTTTTAACTTACTACTTGATTTCCAATGTTAATAAAGAATTCTCTGGCAACACTCCTCCCTTCCAGTTGCTGTCAGTTTACCTCAACTTATGCTGACACGATGTGTGTCAGAGGAGCTCTGGTGGCTTAATGCCTAAGGCACTTGACTGCAAACCAGAAGTCTGGCAGTTCAAACCCACCAGCCACTCCTAGGAAGGAAAACTGGGCAATCTACTTCCATAGTGTTACTGCCTCGGAAATTCAAAGAGGGGTTGCTATGAGTCAGGTCCAACTCGATAGCAGTGAGTTTGGTTTCGGTTTTATGTGTGTCAGAGTATAACTGGTTGATTTTTTTGACAAGGCCATTCTTCTGAGGCACCTCTGGATGGACTCGAACTTCCAGCCTTTCACTAAGTAGCCTAACTCACTGCTGTCGAATCAGTCCTGACTCATAACAAACCCTCCTTGGTTTTCCGAGGTGGTATTGCTACGGAAGTAGATTGCCCAGCCTTCCTTCCGAGAAGTGGCTGATGGGTTTGAACTGCCAGCATCCTGGTTAGCAGTCAAATGCTTTCGGCACTATGCCACCAGAGCTCCTAAATAGCCTAGTACTTAACTATTTACACCACCAAGGGACACTGTGCCAACCCTAGTGGGTTTTTTTTACGTGTTTTGTTTTTATATAATGCTGTATAAATCAATTTGTATAAGTTTAAGTTTTTTGTGAAAGTCTGAATATGTGTCACTTGTCTGTGTTTTAAGTATGTTGTGTGTGGATCTATACAATAAAGGAGCTGCTTCTTAAGAATTTCCTTTAGACTGTATCATTTATATTCCATCGTCTGTTTTAAGAGTTCAGGAAAGTGAACATAATGTTCAGGCTAGTAGTGAAGTCAAACTTTTTTTTCTCCATGATTTACTCATAAACTCTGTCCCTTTTTTTTTAGTTAAACATTAATGAACTAAAAACATTTTTAATCAAAATGATCTAGAAAAACCAGCATCTATCCAAACAGAGTCAGAACAAGGACTGAGTGGTATATTTGAGCATTTTTCTAAACTTGCTAATAAATATCTTTTGACTCTTTCAGACAAAAGGAGACTTAGGAGACCTAGAAGAAAATCATTGCTTTACTTTGTGTTCTTAGCAGATATCAGCATCAAGGACAATCTTTTTATCTGGTATAGAATTGACCAAAATATTCTCATATTACATAAAGTGCCTCACCATTTTGTTAACCTACTGGTCAAAAACCCTGGCTGATGGAACATAGACAAATGTTACAAGAATTCAAGAATAAGATACCCCCAAATAATTCAAAGCTCTTATTAGGGGAATATAACATTGTCTGATACATTAGCAGGTATCATGTAACTATTGTGTGCTGACTTTGTGCTAGCCTTGAAGATACAGAGATAATTCATGCAACATACTGCAGATGAGGAGTCTCTGGGTGGTGCAAATGTTTAACATGCTCAGCTGTTAATAGAAAGGTTGGAGGTTCAAGTACATCCAGAGGTACCTCAAGAAAGACCTGGCAATTTACTTTTGAAAAATAGGCCATTGAAAACCCTATGGAACACACTCTACTCTGACCACACACGGAGTTGCCGTGAGTGGGAGTTGACGTCACAGCAACTACTTTGGTTTGGTTTATTGTAGATGAATTTGTTATGATAAGAACATTCAATTGAAGCAAGTAAACCTTTGAACATGAAGAGAATAAACATCAAATGTTAAAATACAAGGAAGTGACCTCTACCTCAAGGTTAAACAGAAAATTAAATACAGCCTAAAGGCACTGGAAACTGCCTCAGGCTCTTGAAAGCAATACTTGACGGGTGGGCTGGAAACAATCTCCAAATCCCTTCAGTTTCTATTTGTTTCACATTCATTCCCAGGTGCTTTTCCTTACAAGCTAATCAGTATCTCTTGCTTTTCTGATAATATTTATTTAGGTACATTTTTTTAACCTTGTTTTATATGGTTACAGAGAATCTAACCCATCAGCTGGAATAGTTAAACCTAAAAGGTTCAACAATTAGTCTAGAGTTCATATTCCCTAATGGTTCCACACCTGTTTTTGCATAGATGGCTCAATTTATTTCTATTTATTTTATACATTTTCAGACTGTTTCCTTTAACATCCAGTTAGGTACCTAGATAATTAACTTACCAGGACTCATGCCACATCCATCATCCAGGAAGCACAACATGAATCCACCCTGCAGTTTTTCATTATCCACTGTAAGAGAAAGCAGTTATTACTAATAAATATTGGGCTTAATTTGTTCATCAGAAAGTCATGCTGCTCATGTAATTATTCTTCCTCTACAAATACAGCCACAGAGTGACAGAGCTATGGCACAATGATCGTGTTTGGAACTGAATCTTGGCTCCAACTTCACAAGAAACGGCAGGAGAAAATCCATGCAACAAAAAGGTTTAAATTAACAAACAACATCTACACATTAATAAAATATGTATACAGCATGATATACCCTGCCCTGGCATTGGACTAGTCCTTTAAACTTCTGGCATTTGCTACATGGGAAGGGAATCAAAGTACATGGTGATGTGAACCTAGGACCTCACGATCAAATTGACCTATCTACCTTTAAGTCCTTTCACCAAAGCACTCATTCTTCAACAAATTCAGGACATTCTTACTAAATCTATCAGGCTGTCTTCTAAGTAGTTAATTCTCATAAAAACCACTTCTGGGTGTTTCTTCTTGTTGGTGGTGTTATGTGCCCTCGAGTCAGACACAACTCATAGCAACCCCTCCTTGGCTTTTCCAGGCAGTATCACTATGGAAGTAGATTGCCCAACCTTCCTTCCGAAGAGTGGCTGGTGGGTTTGAACTGCCAGCCTTCTGGTTAGCAGTCAAGTACCTTAGCCACTATGCTACCAGAACTCAGAAGCAGATGGGTGGGTTCAAACCACCAACCTATCGACTACTAATCAGACACTAAACCATTTGCTCCACCTAGGGATTCCTTGGCTTTGCCTTACCATCTCATTTTCTCAGTTCCATCTCTGTACCTAGCCCTTTGGTCTCCTTTCCTCGATTTATGTGTCAAAATATTCCCTCTAGACTGCCCTTAAGGTATTTGTTCTGTTCAACACGTGCCTCCCTAAGGTTGGTATTTTTTCACTATTCAATGACGGGGACACAAACTCTTATTGAGATTTTTTGTTTATTTGTTTGTTTGTTTTCCATGAGGCAGTTTTCAATCGTGATTGCACATTAGAATGAGTCATCTAGAATACTGATTTACTTGGTCTTGAATTAATTACAAGAACTGGTATTTTTCTAAAAGCTGCCTCTGGTTATCCAAATACTCATCCAAGATTGGCAATCACCTGATCTCCAAATTGATCAGTTTTAGACTCAGACAGCTCTGCACAGTAGCTACAGTTGATTTTGCAGCTCTTGATACATATTTCTCATAGAAAGTGGCTGGAGAAAAAGGGTATTCCTCAGTAGATAGGTGGGAAAGACCTAAGATTTCTAGGACATATATATAGTATCAACTTTTTGCATAAATTCTAAACACAGATTACAGACTATCAAACCTTCAAAATTTTACTTTACTTCACTTCCTTAAAACAATGCATTTTAGGTAAATATCTTGCTGGTATTGTCAGATGTCATCAAGTCAGCTCCAACTCAAAGAAACCCTATGCACTACATAATGAAACACTGCCAGGTCCTGTGCCAACCTCACAATCTTTGCTATGCTTGAGTCCATCGTTGAAGCCACTGTGTCAATCTATTTTGTTGAGAGTCTACCCCTTTTTCTCTGACCTTCCACTTTGCCAAGCATGACATACTAGTCTTCTTCAAGGACTGGTCCCTTCTGACTTCATGACCAAAGTAGGTGAGATGCAGTCTGACCATTCTTGCTTCTAAGGAACATTCCAGCTGCACTTCTTCCAGGATAGATTTGTTTGCTCTTTTGTAGGCCATGGTGTTTTCAGTATTCTTTGCCAACACCACAAGTCAAAGGCTTCGATTCTTCTTCCATCTTTCTTATTCATTGTTCAGCTTTCGCATGCATGAGGCAAATGAAAACGCCATCACTTGGTTTAAGAGCACCTTGGTCTTTATTTTATTCTTTATTATTAATAATAATTTATTTATTTTTATTTTTGGAGTGTTTGCTCCTCTCCCCTCCCACCACTGGTAACCAACAAAGAAAGTTTCCTTCGATACATAAACCTTTCCTTGACTTTTTACAATAATGAACTAATACAATATTTATCCTTCTGTGATTGACTTATTTCACTCAGTATAATGACCTCCAAGTTCATCCACATTATGTGATATTTTGCAGATTCTACATAATTCTTTAGGGTTGCAGAGTATTCCATTGTATTACCATAGTTTGGTTATCCGTTCTTCTGTTGATGGGCACTAGGTTGTTTCTATCTTTTTGCTCTTGTAAATAGTGCTGTGATGAACATGGGTGTGCATATATATGTTCTTGTCCTGGCTCTCACTTCCTTAATTTTAATGTTTAAAAGGTCCCATTCAACTAGTTTATCTAGCATATCTAATATGCTTGACAGTCTATTTATACCACAAATTAGGGGCCCTAAATTGTCCCTAGTTTTTCCTTGAGGGGTATTATAGTTTTAGGTTTCATGTTTAAGTCTTTGAACTATTATTAGTTTTTGTGTATAGTGTGAGGTATGGATCTTGTTTCATTTTTCTGCAAATAGATATCCAGTTTTGCCAGCATCATTTGTTAAAGAGATCGTCTCTTCCCCCATTTAATGGATTTCAGACTGTTGTCAAATATCAGATGACCATAGATTGATGGATCTATTTCTAGGTTCTCCATTATTTTTCACTGGTCTATGTGTCTGTCACTGTACCAGTACCAGGCTATTTTGACTACTGTGGCTTTATCATTGGTTTTGAGATCTGAAAGTGTGAGACCTGCTACTTTGTTCTTTTTCTTCAACAGTGCTTTGCTTATCTGAGGTCTCTTTCCTTTCCATATAAACTTAGTGACTGTTTTTTCCATATCCTTATAGAATGTTGATGGGATCTGGATTGGGATTACATTGAGTGTATAGACTGCTTTGGGTAGTATTGAAACTTTCACAATGTTCAATCTTCCTATCCATGAGCATGGTATGTTCTTCCATTTGTGAAGGTCTCTTACAGTTTCTTGAAGTAGTGTTTTTTTTTTTTTT